AAAGGAAAAGTGGGGTACCAATACTCATATCTGATAAAACAGATTTCAAAATGTAGGCCATAACTAGAGACAAAAAAGGCCATTATATAATATTGAAAGGATCTATCCAACAGGAAGATATAACCTTGGAAAATATATATGCACTCAATATAGAAGCAAGGAAATGTATTTAAAATCTTCTGGAGAACTTCCAATGAAAAATCAACAGCAATACAATCATAGCAAGGGACTTCAACACCCCACTAGCATCACTGGATAGATCCTCTAGACAAAAAACTTAGCAAGAAAACAGAGACTAATGAAGCACTAGACAAAATGCATTTAATTAAGAGATCTACAGAGAATTACACCCCAAAACTACAGAATTCACATTCTTCTCAAGTGCACATGGGACATTCTCAAAGATAGACCACATGTTAGGGCACAAACTAAGTCTCTACAAGTTCAAGAAAATTGAAATCATATCAAGCATCTTCTCAGATCACAATGGCATGAAACTAGAAATCAATTGCAACAAGAACATGCAAAGACATTTCAACACATGGAGGCTACATAGCATGTTATTAAACAATGAATGGGTTACTGAAAAGATCAAGAAAGAAATTAAAAACTTCCTGGAAACCAGTGAAAATGAACACACAACAACACAAAATCTATGGGATGCAGTGAAAGCAGTTCTGAGAGGGAAGTTCATAGCACTACAGGCCTACCTCAAGAAACAAGAAAAATGTCTAATAGACCATCAAACCTCACAACTTAAAGAACTAGAAAGCAAACAAAATGAAAACCCCAGAGCAAGTAGAAGGAAGGAAATAGTAAAGATCAGAGCAGAAATAAATGAATAGTGACCGAAAAATCAAATCAAAGGATCAATGAAACAAAGTGCTGGTTTTTTGAAAACATAAACAAGATTGATGGACACTTAGCTAGCCTCACCAAGAAACAAAGAGAGAGAACTCAAATACACAAAATCAGAAATGAAAGAGAAGTAACAACTGACACCACAGAAATACAAAGGATCATTAATAAATACTATGAACAATTATATGGCAAAAAAATTCGACCACCTTAGCAAAATGAACAAATTTCTAGAAACACATAGTCTTCCAAAACTGGACTGGGAAGAGATAGAAAACTTGAACAGACCAGTAACAACTAATAAAATTGAAGATGTAATCAAGACTCTCCCAGCAAACAAAAGCCCAGGCCCGGACAGCTTCATGGGGTAGTTTTACTGAGATTGCAAAAAAGAATTAGCACCCATTCTCCACAAACTATTCCAAATAATTGAAGAAAAAGAATAATGTCCAAACGCGTTTTATGAGGCCAGCATAATTCTAACTCTAAAACTAGAAAAATACATTACAAAGAAAGAAAACTGTGGGCCAATATCCCTGATGAACATAGATGCTATAATCTTGAAAAAAATATCAGTAAATCGGATTCAGCAATACATCAAAAAAATTATTCACCATGACCAAGTGGGATTCATCACAGGGATGCAAGGCTGGTACAATATTTGCAAATTAATAAATGTGATACACCACATAAACAAAATAAAATATAAAAATTATATGATCCTAAAAGCATTCAACAAAATCCAGCACCCATTTCTGATAAAAAACACTCAGCAATTTGGGTATAGAGGAATCATATCTCAACATAATAAAGGCCATATATAAAAGATCTAAACCCAACATCATACTCAATGGACAAAAACTAAAAGCAATTCTCTTAAGAACAGGAACAAGGCAAGGATGCCCACTTTCACCACTCTTATTTAACATAGTATTGGAAGCCTTAGCCACAGCAATCAGACAGGAGAAAAAAATAAAAGAGATCCAAATGGGAAAGGAGGAAGTGAAACTGTCATTATTTGCAGATGACATGATACTATATGTAGAAAACTCCAAAGACTCCATCGAAAATTTACTAGATTTAATAAATTAATTTGGCAAAGTAGCAGGATACAAAATTAACATCAAGAAATCAATGGCATTCTTATACACCAATGATGAACTCACAGAAAGAGAAACTAAAAAACAACCCCATTTACTATCGTAGCAAAAAAAATTAAGATACCTAGCAATAAACTTAACCAAAGAAATAAAGGACCTATTTGCAGAAAACTACAAGTCATTGAAAAAAAAAAATAGAAAAAGATATAAAAAAGTGAAAGGACATACCTTGTTCATGGATTGGAAAAATCAACATCATTAAAATGTCCATACTACCCAAAGCAATCTATAGATTCAATGCAATCCCCATCAAAATACCAATGACATACTTCACAGAACTAGAACAAATACTTCAAAATTTCATATGGAACCAAAAAAGACCTCGAATAGCCACAGCAATCTTGAAAAAGAAGAACAACATTGGAGGGATCACATTACCAGATTTCAGGTTATACTACAAAGCCACTGTAATCAAAACAGCTTGGTACTGGCACAAGAACAAACATATAGACCAGTGCAACAGAACAGAGAACCCGGAAATGGACCCAAGGCTCTATGCTCAATTAATATTTGACAAAGGTGGCAAGAGCATACAATGGAGTAAAGACAGCCTCTTTAATAAATGGTTTTGGGAGAATTGGACAGCTACATGCAAAAAAAAAAAAAAAAAATGAAACTAGACCATCAACTTACACCATACACAAGAAAAAAGTCAAAATGGATAAAAGACTTAAATGTGACTCATGAATCCATAAAAATCCTAGAAGAAAATGTAGGCAACAAAATTTCAGACATCATACACTGCAGAATTTTCACTGATACATCACCTAAGGCAACAGAAACAAAGGAGAAAATGAACACATGAGACTACATCAAACTCAAAAACGACTGCTCAGCAAAAGAAACAACCACCAAAATGGAAAGGCAACCCACTATATGGAAGAGCATAATTGCTAATGATACATCAGATAAGGGGTTATATTTCAAAATATATAGAGTGCTCATACAACTCAACAAAAGGAAAACAAAGAATTGTATTAAAAAATGGACAGATAAACTAAATAGACACCTCTCGAAACAGGACATACAAATGACGAAGAGACATATGAATAAATGCGCAACATCACTAATAATCAGAGAGATGCAAATTAAAACATCAATGAGGTATCACCTCACATCTGTCAGAATGGCCGCCATTAACAAATCATCAAACAAGAAGTGTTGGCGAGGGTGTGGAGAAAAGAGGACCCTAGTACACTGCTGGTGGGAATGAAGACTGGTGCAGCCACTATGGAAAACAATATGGTGTTACCTCAAAAAATTAAAAATTGAATTGCCATTTGATCCAGGGGTCCCACTTCTAGGAATATACCCTAAGCATCCTGAGACACCAATCAGAAAGAATATATTTACCCCCATGCTCTTAGCAGCACTATTTACAATAGCTAAGATCTGGAAACAACCCAAAAATCCATCAATAGACAAATGGATTAAAAGGGTGGGTACATATACACAATGGAGTACTATGCAGCTGTAAGAAAGAAAGATCTCTTATCCTTTGAGATGACATGGAGAGACCTGTAGAGTATTATCCTAAGCAAAACAAGCCAAGCAGAGAAAGACTAATATCACATGATCTCACTTATTTGTGGAATATAATGAACCTAACAGTCTGAAGAACAGGGTAGACCCAGAGACGTGGAAGTAGGGTACAGACTGGCAATCCCCTGAAGAGGGGTGGGAGGGAAGATAAACCACAGAACTTATATGCATGTATGCATAACCTATGGACATGGGGAGGAGGGTGTCAATGGGGGTAAAAGGAGAAACATTTGTAGCAAAAGTAAATTTAAAAAATAATAAAATAAATAAAATATAATAAAATAGCCCCTTTTGAAAAATAAAAATTTAAAAATAAATAAATTTAAAAATGTTGAGGATTTTTACAGGTATGTTAAAATCTTTGCTTGGTGCTTTACATGAAGTTTCTCTTTTGATTACTATGTCAGTTCATGCAAATGACAAGCATGTATATGATGTAAAATAATTATTTTATATACCTTCAAAATATGAACAATATTTCACCTTTATTGCTCTTTTTACATAATTTTATTGGAGTTGTTGGTGTGACATTGGCTGATAATATTCTATAGGTTTCAACTGCACATTTCTATGATACATGATCTGTATATTGCATTGTGTGCCCACCACCCAAAGGAAAATCATCTTCCATCACCATATTTTTGACTCCCTTAACTTTTTACTACTCGTCCAAATCCCCCCTTTTCCTATGGTTACCACCATACTATTGTCTGTGTCTATGAGTTTTTGTTTAGACTGGAAAATTCAACATAGCTAAAATGTCCATATTACCCAAAGGAATATACAGAGTTAATACAATTTACAGCAAAAACAAAAACAAACAAATCCCAATGGTTGTAGCAGTTCCATTATAAGTAGAAGAAGGGAATGAACACAGAACACAAGACACACAGAACATAAGACACACAGAAGACAAGATACACACAGACAGGACATGGCTGCAGCCCCAAGTGCTTGCAGCAGTTTATTTTTAAAGGTAAAAGTTTGGCAACTTGCCCTGCTTACTTAGTAGCTTTATTGGACTTTGTTCCTTATTCTTTCCTTGAACCCTTTATCTGAATAGCATATTCCCTTGTCTGTTCATGTACTGTTCTTAGTAAGAATGTTCCCAGGAAGGTCAGTGCGTGCGAATGCTCCTTCAGGCTCCCCGTTTGCAGCGTAGGAGTGCCTGAGCTCATTTGCAAAGCTTCAGGCATGATCATGGGAAAGCAATAAGGTTAAGCCCTTTGCAGCTGCCCTTAGTTGTCTTTAGTACACTTTCGTGATCCTTAGAACTCCTTCGATGGTACTTTTTTAAAAAATAGAAGAAAAAAATTATCAGTTTTGTATAGAACTACAAAAGACCCTGAATAGCCAAAGCAATCTGAGAAGAACATAAATTCTTCTTGATATACTTGATAAACACAAGTTTATAATTTTAGTGTAGAAGAATTTTTTATTATTTTCCTTCTTGCTACACATATTTTGTATCTTTTTATAGAAATTCTGCTATGGTAGCCAATCTACAATATAGACCTCAGTGATTTTCATCTTCTGCTCTTTATGCCTTTGGTTAATCCACTTCTTTAGGATGTTAGGTTTGGTCTATGTGACCAATAGAATGTACCCGAAGTTCAAGTCATTCACAAAAGACATTGCTATTTTCACTTTCTCTCTTGGATTACTTGCTCTGGTGGAAACCTGTCACCATATTGTGGAATCACTCAAGAAACCCTATGGAGAGTTCCCTATGGTGAGGATCTGAGGCCTTCAGGCAAAAGCCAGTAGCAAATTTACAGCCATGTTAGTGAGACATCTAAGCATCAGATCCTTCAGCTCTTGCCTGGCCTCCAGGTGATTGTAGTCCCAGTTACTATTTTGACCAAAAAAATTTATCAATGGGATTTTGAGAAAAGTCCACCTTAATTTTCAATAGTGACCTCCTGAAAAATCATCTGATAGACAAAATATTGCCATCTCTTGCCCAAGGAATGTTTATAAAATGAAAAATGAATAAAGTAAAGAATGCATAACAAATTAAAGAAAAATACCCCGAAGGAACAGCTCACCCTACTGATAGTGGAAAGGAGGAAACTATAAGAGGAATGATTGAAGGAAGTAAGGTATCTGGATATTTCCATGAACCTCTGTGATAAGAATTATACATAAATTTCAAGAGGAAATTATCATTTTATGATAGGTCTCCACTGAAATGTGACAGTGAATAGAGTTCCACTCATAGATTAACCTTCTTCATCTCACATATTGAATGTCTTTGAGAATTACAGAAAACATCATTCCAGCCCCATCCTCCAGGACTCCAGAAAACTAATGAAGCACAATCCTCTTCAGATAAATTGGGCTCACCCTGGTGCCATAATCTAAAGACAAACAAAGGATAAAAACACTTCAGTGAATGCAAGTAATTTAGAAAGTATATAGGGCTGGGGATTAAAGAGAATGGGGATTAGAGTGAAAAAAAACACTCTAATTATTGCTCTCCTTTTCTCATACTGCCCTTGTGAAAAACCCCAAGTGTAGCCTGGCCAGTGTGGCTCACTGAATTGAGCATTGTCCCATGGACTAAGAGGTCCCCGTTCAATTCCCGGTCAGGGCACATGCCGCCCTTGCAGGCTAGACCCCCCAGTGTGGGGCATGCGGGAGGCAGCCAATCAATGTTTCTCCCATCAATGTTTCTATCTTTCTTTCCCTTCCTCTCTCTCCAAGAAAATTAATGAAAACATATTTTTTAAAAATCCAGTGTAAACACATACTTTTATAATTGCTCCTCTAACACTCCCTTGGCAAATTTTTATGAAATAGAGTAATCTTGACTGTTTCCCTAAAGTCTGATCTGCATTTCTCCTTCTATAAAGAGCTCCTATCCCAATTTTGTGTTGTCCTTTCTTAGTGGCATGTAATAAAGAAAATGCCTCCTTAATTTGTGTACTCTTAACACCTTCTTAAATTCCTGTATTCTCATGGAGCTTGAGTTTGGTCATAAAAATTTACCCTGCCTTCAAGGAATACAATATGTAATAACTGTGATGGGTTTGGTGGGGTAGGACTTTGTTTTTAGAATCAAGAGACCTGATTTTGCCCCTGACTCATTTTGATCTTAAGCAAACAACTTATTCTTCTCAGGCATTGATTGTTCATATATAAAAATAGGAATCATAATCAGGTCCCAAAATAGCTCATAAGATTATGAAAGAATCACATGAGATAATGTATAGTTAAATTCTGGGTTTTTTTCAAAGCCACAAATAAACAGTATTGTTACATAATTAACCTCCTAGAATTGAACATAGTTCTGACACAGATATTTAAGTCTTATTAATTGATGTAAATTTTAATTAAAGTGTCTACCTATGTTTAGAGGCAGCAAACTGTAATGATTAAGAGCACCAATTTTGGCCCTGGCCAGTTTGGCTCAGCGGTTAGAGTGTCGGCCTGCGGTCCGGAGAGACCCGGGTTCGGTTCCCGCTAAGGGCACGTACTTCGGTTGCAGTTTGTCCCCGGCCCTGGTTGGTCGTGTGGGTGGCAGCCACTCGATGTGTCCCTTCACGTCGATGTTTCTCACTCTCTCTCCCTTCCTCTCTCTCCCTCCCACTCTATCTGTACAAAAAATGGAAAAATATCCTCGGGTGAGGATAAAAAAAAAAAAAAAAAAGAGCACCAATGTTGGAGTTAGACATGGAGTTGAGGCCGTTTCTCATCTTACTACTTATTAACCTCAGGAAAGTTAATCCAATTTTCATCAGTAACATGAGTTCTAAAAAATGTTTTAAAAAGTTTAAGTGTGACAATACATGCACTCAGTAAGAGCTTAATAATTTTTAGAATCTGTTGTTATCAGTATAACTATCAGTATTAGCATTAACAGTCACTGCCAACTAAATTTTTCTACATTTTTATGTAAACAAAGCCTGTGGTTCATTAATGTGAATCTGTACTCACCTGAAATTTTCTGCATAAGGTGTGTGATCAATCCATTGCCAATTGTTATTTTTTTGTGGATCTGAGAGTCCCAGAAAATAAGAAAGTGATTTATTCAGGTGCTGAACAATGAAATTCTGCGCAAAGAAAAACAAGTCATAGAATGAACTTTCCAGATTGAATAGAATAAGGGTTCTTTACAGCTCTGAAGAGAAAATAAAATGCAAGGTGTGAGAAACAGTGTAATGACAGCTCATTGGACAAAAGAACAGGCCCAAAACACCAACATTATCACAGGAAGCAGGGAGTTATAACCCATGAATTTCCATCACAGACAGATTTTTTTCCTACTTCACCAAGAGACAGAATTCTGTTTAAATGTATGTTAGCCCTGGCCGGTTTGGCTCAGCGGTTAGAGCGGCGGCCTGCGGTCCTGAGGGACCCGGGTTCAGTTCCCGCTAAGGGCATGTACCTCGGTTGCAGTTTGTCCCCGGCCCTGGTCGGTCGTGCGGGTGGCAGCCACTCGATGTGTTCCTTTCACATCGATGTTTCTCTCTCTCTCTCTGTTCCTCTCTCTCCCTCCCACTCTACCTGAACAAAAAATGGAAAAATGTCCTCGGGTGAGGATAAAAAATAAATAAATAAATAAATAAATAAATAAATAAATAAATGTATGTTAATTTTTGCACTTTCAAAAATTTTTTTTAAATTTATAAGTTCCATCTTATTTTCCATTGTTTATCAGTAAAATTACATTTGAGTTGCCAAAATTCAAATTTGGTTCTCTACTCTTCGAAGTAGTAATTCTTTAGAAAGTAAGTAATTACTTTTAAAAGTTAAACACAAAGAAGTGCTTATTAGATTATAACTGTAGTGATTATTACTTTTAAATTATTAGTCTCATTTTTCCATCTAGGCTTCTGTATTACCTTTATAATCTATCTAGACTGTTTTCTGATTGAGATAAGGTACAATTAATTTTGAATTAATTTTGGATTCAACATTCAGGCTTAAGAATTTCCAGTGCCTGGCCAGAGTAGCTCAGTTGGTTGAGCATTGTACTGTGCATCAAAAAGTTTCTGTTTGGATTCTTGGTCAGGACACCTACCTGGGTTGCCCGTTTGATCCCCAGTTAGGGCAGGTACAGAAGGCAACCAATCAATGTTTCCCTCTCACATCAATGTTTCTTTCTCTTAATCTCTTCCTCTCCCTTAAAATGTCTACAGGTGAGGATTTTAAAAATGTTTTTTCCTGTGTATTGTCCTGAGATTCTCTGACATAAAGCAAACATTCTGGGGGAAGGAAGCTGTTCCTCAGCCAAGGGTATTATAGAATACAAAAATTTCCCTGACATTAATTTCTGTTTTTGAAAGTACCCTGCTCACCCAGGCCAGTGTGGCTCAGTGGGTGAGCATTGACCCATGCACCAAGAGGTTACTGATTTAATTCCTGTTTAGGGCACATGCCCAGGTTGTGAGCCAAATCCTCATTTGGAGGTATGCAGGAGGCAGCCAATCAATGTTCTTGCTCATCAATGTTTCTATCTCTCTCCCTCTCTTTCTAAAATCAATTTAAAAAAATTTTTTTAATAAATAAAAGTACCCTGCTCATTATGGAATAGTATTGTTATCTGCCTAGGCATTTTATATATTCAATTGTATTTATTTATTTATTAATATGTTTTTTTGATTTTTTTTTTTTTTAGAGAAAGAGAAAGAGGGAGAGATAGAAACATTGATGTGAGAGAGAAACATCAATCAGCCATTGCCTTCATGCCCCCTGTTGGGAATTGAGCCTACAACCTGGGCATGTGCCCTGACCAGAAATTGAACCGAGACTTTTCAGTCTATGAGACAATGCTCAATCCAATGAGCTACACCAGCCAGGCTATTTCAATTGTTTTTTAAAATGGACACTTAGGAGGATTCCAAAATGGTGGCAAAGTGAATGGAAGCTACACAGAGCATCTCCCAGAACAAAACTGAAATTACAAGTAAAATAAAGACAAATCATTGGAAAAAAGCAACAGAAAAGCCGCTTGTGAGGATCATATGCCCAGGGACATTGAATTGATCCTGGTAGAGTTGCAGAGGCATGAGAGGGGGACTAGGAGCCCACAGACAGCAGTGGTCTTAGCTGTGAGCAGTGCCTTTGGGGTTAAAATCTCAAGCCAGCTCCACAGTGCAGAGGGCCAGGACAGAGCACTAAATCAGCCAGAGCCACTTACCTTGGGCTTTGGCAGAGAAAGGGCATACTGGACTGGAACTGTGTGAGGATACTTGGGATTAGAGGGTGCTCAGAGGTTTTGCTGAGTTGAGGCCAAGCGGAACAATGGCTAACTTACTCTTTCCCAGGGCTCTGGGGAGAGGTGGCAACCCTTTCTGAAAGATTCAACCCCACCCAGGTGGGCCAAAAAATGCAAATTGAGGCTCATTACAACCAGCATTTGACCCACACTTGGGAAATCTTTTTATGCTGAACACCTGAGGGAGTTTTTCATTAAACTGAAAACCCAAGGCTCTTCAAGTAATAGCCTCCAGGCAAAAAGCTAGAGGATAACTAAACTGTTCCTGGGCTTGAAAATATACCCAGGAAAGTAAGACTTGACAGTGGTGTTTAACATGGGTCCTCCTATGCTTATCCAAACACAGTAGACAGAGCCACAAACAGCAGAACACCAACACTTACAGGGAAAATTTGGCAGGTTCCAAAATCCACTGAGATAACCAAAATGGTGAAACAAACAAACAAAAAAATCGCAAATGAAAGAACACAAGACCTCTACCAAAGATGAGATAAATGAAATGCAGTTAGCAAGTTATCAGAGGTAGAGTTCAGAGCCATGATCTTGAGGAAATTCAACAGCATGGTTAAGGACCTCAATACCATAAGTAAAGATATAGAAGCATTGAAAACAAACCAAGTGAAAATAAAAAACAACATAGCATAAATAAAGAACACATTGAAAGGACTTACCAGCAGAGTAGAGAAAGCTGAGGACCAAATCAGTGAATTAGAAGACAGGACAGAAAAAATCAATCAGTCAGAAAACCAAAAGAAAAAACAATTAAAAAACAAAAAGATAGCTTAAGAGAACTGTGGGATAACTGGGAACATAATAATATTCGCATCATAGGAGTCTCCAAAGAAGAAGAAAATGAGCAAGGGTTAAAGAATATATTTGAAGAAATAGTGACAGAAAACTTCCCTAATTTGGTTAAGGAAGAAGGCATTCAAGTTCAAGAAGCACAGAGAGCCCCAACTAAGAAGAATCCAAACAGGCCCACACCAAGACACATAGTAATTAAAATGCCAAAAATTAAAGACAAATAGAGAATCCTAAAGGAAGCAAGAGATAAGCAACAGGTTAACTACAAAGGAACCCCCATAAGGCTATCAGCTGACTTCTCAACAGACACACTACAGGCCAGAAAGGAATGTCATGAAGTAATCAAGGACATGAAAACCAAGGATCTGAATCCAAGACTACTATATCCAGCAAGGCTATCATTCAAAATAGAAGGTCAAATAAAGAACTTCCCAGACAAAAAAAGGCTAAGGGAAAACATAAGTACCAAACCAGCACTGAAAGAAATGTTAAAAGGACTGCTATAATTAGTAGGAGAAATAGGAAGAAAAATAGAACCACACTAAACAAAAATGGCAATAAATAAATATATTATCAATAATCACCTTAAATGTAAGTGGATTGAATGCTCTGATAAAAAGACACAGAGTAGTTGATTGGATAAGAAAGGATGACTCATAAATATGTTGTTTACAAGAGACGCACCTCACAACAAAAGACTCACATAGGTTGAAAGTGAAGAGATAGAAAAAAATCTTCCAAGCAAACAGAAAGGAAAAAAAGTTGGAATAGCAATACTAATATATGATCAAATAAATTTCAAAATGAAAGCCATAACTAGAGACAAAGAAGGTCACTACATAGTATTAAAAGGATCTATCCAACAGGAAGATATAACCTTGGTAAACATATATGCACTCAATATGGGAGCACCAAAATATATTAAAAATTTGGAGACTGCAAAAGGAGAAGTTGATAGCAAGACAATCCTAAGAGGGGACTTCAACACCCCATTGACACCACTGGATCGATCCTCTAGATAAAAAATTAACCAGAAAACAGAGACTCTACACTACACCAAATGGATTTAATAGAGATCTACAGAGAATTACACCCAAAACTGCAGAATTTACATTCTTCTGAAGTGCACTTGGGACATTCTCAAACATAGACCGCATGTTAGGACACACACTAAGTCTCTACAAGTTCAAGAAGATTTAAATCATATCAAGCATCTTCTCAGATAACAATGCATGAAACTGAAATTCAATTGCAACAATAACATGAAAAGACATTTGAAAACATGGAGCCTAAATACCATGTTATCAAACAATAAATGGGTTACTGAGGAGATCAAGAAAGAAATTAAAAACTTCCTGGAAACCAATGAAAATGAACACACAACAACACAAAAATTATGGAATGCAGTGAAAGCAGTTCTGAGAGGGAAGTTTATAGCACTACAAGCTTACCTCAAGAAACAAGAAAAATTTTTAATAGACTATCTAACCTTACAACTTAAAGAACTAGAAAGCAAACAAAAAAGAAAACCCCAGAGCAAGTAGAAAGAGGGAAATAGTAAAGATCAGAGCAGAAATAAATGGAGACCAAAAAATAATTCAAAGGATCAATGAAACAAAGAGCTGGTTTTTCGAAAAGATAAACAAGATTGATGGATTCTTAGCTAGACTCACGAAGAAACAAAGAGAGAGAACCCAAATACACAAAATCGAACATGAAAGAGGAGAAGTAAAAACTGACACCACAGAAATATAAAGGATTGTTAACAAATACTATGAACAATTATATGGCAACAAATTTGACAATCTAAGCAAAACTGATAAATTTCTAGAAACACATCGTCTCTTAAAACTGGACCAGGAAAAGATAGAAAACTTGAACAGACCAATAACAACTAAGGAAATTGAAGATGTAATCAAGACTCTCCCAGCAAACAAAAGTCCAGGCCTGGACAGCTTCATCGGGGAGTGTTACCAAACATTCAAAGAAGAACTAACACCAATTCTCCTCAAACTATTCCAAAAAATT